TTAACGTTCTATATGACGAATTTCCTAGATAAGATAGAGGTGAAAAACTTATGACACATATGTGATCAACATGGACTTGTAGCAGATGTATCCATAGCTAGAAAATGATCCAAGATTGGATGCAGGTTTACATTTATCCGTTTCATGAAAATAATCGTTTCTAAATTGTTTGTGGAAGATTTAAGGTTGTGTTTGACGCACTATGACTATCTTATTTTTCGAGTTTTTTTAAATTGACATATTTGGCAAACTAAAAAGTAGCTTTTTAGAAAGCTAGTTAGAGTAGCTTTTCAAGAGTTTTTTAAAAAATTTCGAATATACCATTAACTAATTATAGAAAATATATTCTTTTAAATATTTTTTAATGTCATTTTATATTTTTCAACTAACTTATAAGATAATTTTTACCAGACATAATTTTTGAAAGCTAGCAACTAATTTTTCAGCTAATAGTTAACTTTTTAACCATCAGCTAACTTCAGTTACCGGTTAACTTTTTAGCTATTATGACAAACATAGTCTAAATAAGATTTGGATAGGAAATTTCCATTGTTTTCCTTTGCTCCTTAAAAAATGAACTTAACTTTAGAACTATTTTAGATAGTTTCCACCTGTAAATCAGGTTATGAGATGAGTCTACAGGGTTCTACTTACATGACATAATACATATTTGAAAGTTTAAAAATCCTACTTCTTTACACTTAGTTCATTACCAAACATATATTTGGCAAAAATACATTACTTGTATATTTAATTTTCTTCTTTTCTAATATCACATTATGAATTTTAGTACTGATAATGCAGTTTTCTCCATTTCTATTATCATTTCGTACAAAACACAAAGTCACTTGACTACGGCGAAGATTTATATGCCTCTAAATAAATAAAAAATACATATTTATACTTCTACAAAATGTAATTATATTTTAAAAAATATATATAAAACTACATATTTATTTTTCTAAAATGCATCTATATAATACGTCTGAAATCGTAAAAATAAGTATTTATAATTTTAGAAAACTGAAATATATATTTATGTTTCTAAAAAATTATCTATGCTTCTAAAAACTTAAAAATATATATTTATATTTCTAAAAAGCATATTAGTATTTCTATAAATATATTTATGCTTTTAAAAATATATCAAGCTTCTAAACACGTATCTCTAAATATTATTAAAAGAGAACCTTTAATTCACCAATGAAGCAATCAGGCCTTTGATTATATTTCAATCATATGTTTTTCACCATTAGATCAAATTGATGACATTATCTTTCCCAAATAGAATTCAAACACAATTACATTTAATTATATAATCTTTAAATTCAACAATTATGTTATCAATTAAAACATATCATTCTATTTATATAGAAGATATCAATTTCTATAATTAATATTGTTTTTAATTTAACTCCCTTATTTATAGCTTTTGGCTTCAAAATTTAAATCCGTTTTTTTTAAATAACTCTTTAAATAAGCAAATCATTAATTTGGTTATTAACCTATAAAATCTAATCTAATCCAATTAAATCTACAAAATATTTGAGAGTCAAAATTAAAGTCACTATCATTCATAATTTATCTCACAGAATCTCCCACATAAAATGAATCGATTTGAGATAATGATTTGAATTTTAAAACTCATAAAATAAGCAAGTCAATTAATTTGTAAATTTGAATCAATATAACTGATTTTTTTTCTAGATTAATAGCCGAAAATCTCCAAGATGATATCTTAGGATCCCATTTTTTTAGAAGATAATGATTTGATTATTCAAAAACACCCTATATATACAATTACATTGAAGTTGTTATTCTTACGATTTTGGATCGAGTCCTACAATTTACAATGTTCTTCTTTAGCAATTTTCTTCTTCAATTCTTTTTTCTAGGTTCTTTCTTTACTTTGTTCTCCTTCTCATTCTCCAATTTCTTGCATTTACTCTCTCTTCTTATTATATGTTATTACTGTATTCATGTTGAGAGGTCATGAAAAAAATTAATCAATCTACTTTAAGCATATTAGTTTCATTCATATCTAAATATTATTACAAGAGAACCCTTAATTCACCAATGAAGCAATCAGGACCCTTGATTGTATTTCAATCATATGTTTTCTACCCTTAGATCAAATTGTTGACATCATCTTCCCCAAATAAAAATCAAACACAATTACATTTAATTATAGAATCTTTAAATTCAGCAATTATGTTATCAATTGAAGCATATCATTCTATCTATATACGAGATATCAGATTTTATAATTAATATTGTTTCTAATTTAACTCCCTTATTTATAGCTTTTGGCTTCAAAATTCAAATCCGTTTAGTTTTTTTTTAACTCATTAAATAAGCATATCAACACAAAATCTAATCTAATCTCATTAAATCAGCAAAATATTTGTGAGTCAAAATTAAAGTCAATATTATTCATAATTTATTTCTCAATATATCCCACGTAAAATGAATCAATTTGAGATAACGGTTTGAATTTTAAAACTCATTAAATAAGCAAGTTAATTAATTTGAAAATTTGAATCAATATAACTGATATCTTTTTTTCCAGATGAATAGCCGAAAATCTCCATGTTGATATCTTAGGATCCCAATTTTTTGGAAGATAATAATTTCCTTATTCAAAAATACTATATATATATATATATATATATATATATATATATATATATATATATATATAGAATTACATTGAATTTTTTATTCTTACGATTTTGGATTGAGTCGTATGATTTATAATGCTCTTCTTCAATGGTCTTCTTCTCCATTTTTTATTTCCAGGTTCTTTCTTTACTCTGTCACCTTCTTCTTCTCTAATTTCATGCATTTACTTTGTTCTTATTACCTGTTATTACTATATTCCTGTTGAGATGTCATAAAAAAAAATTAATCAATCTACTAGAGGAAAGATACGTGCTAACATTTTGAATTTGTATTGCCCTCCAGAAACCAACCGTAGTCTCATAGACCATTCCCACATATCTTAATAGGTCTTAGCATTCCCCTAAATTCAGCTACAAGAAGTCATGGATGTACTTCTTGAATCAATCCTCTAAACTGAAATTCATTTGTTAGTTAGATGCAGTGACCAAAATACAAGATTTGTGAAAGTTCATTATTATTTATTAGTGTTAACCTTTGGAAAATTATAAAACTAATATTATATTTTTGTTCATAACAAGGCTTTTTTTGTAATACTTTCTTTGATCGGAAGATATGTATATCTGATTAGGTGTAGCCTGAAAAATCATATTTTATTCTTATAAGGAAAAGATACTTTAGAAATTGACCAAATTACAATGTCTGAGTTTGATGTTTATGGCTATGGCAATGCACTTTAATTGTAATGTTTATCAAATTTCTTTACAGAATTTAACGTTGCTGGTACATATAACAACTTATTGTTGCTTTTGGTTTTACATGACCAATATGAAAAGTGTCATATGAGCTTCCATGGGGGTTTGTATACCGAACAAAGTCACTTCATAAAGCTACTACACAACATGTTTTAATTAATGAGTCGCATCATGTTGTGATAAAACAAATATCACATGGATCATTTATATTAAAAATTACTGTATTAAAACACCAAATTGCTCTAGTATAAAAATTAAATCTTTTTATTTAATAAGTTTGGTTCAAAAACTCAAAATGAATCTAACTAACATTTTTTATTAAAATTTCACCTAAAACAATATCATCTATTAATGTGATGTGTATTTAATTTATATTCTCCGCGTTTAACGCGGGTCATAATCTAGTTTATATTACTATAAGTGTATTTATAAATCTAAAAACATATTTATACGAATACATATAATATGAGAAAAAACCTTAAGGTCAAAACATGTGTGTGTGTGTGTGTGTATATATATATATATATATATATATATATAATATATATATATATATATATATATATATATATAAACTTAAGGATTTTCTTGTGAATTATGTTTCATGGTAACCTAGAAACTTGATAGCAAGTAACAAGGGAAAAAGTAGCAAAAAAATACAAAGTTGTGGTTTTAACAGGGTTCTAAAAGGCACGTCATAACAGCAAGGCGTAGTGACGAATCTAGAACCGAAACAACGTGGTTCCTTGTGTAAGTTAAACCGAAAAAAAATGAGAGAGTAAGAATAATAGTGGTCGGTTGGCGCCTGGCGGAGGGGCGACGGTGGGCTGGCGACGATGCTCGGACGACATAGGGAAGAACTAGTGACCAGTGAGAGCAATCAACAAGGCAACATTGCTTCAGAGATTTTTATCACGCCTCAGGCCAAGTGACATTTCAAATTTCAAGTCTTTTTGCTATTTTTTTCTTTTTTTTTTGTTTAACTTTAAATAGATCGGACTATTACCTAATGATTAAAGTTTAAGTGGATTGAGACATTGAACTATTTTAAGTGGATTGAAATATAAATATATTAGCTTCATGTATTTTAATTCATTTTTTTGGCAAAGTTTATAAGGTAGATTCTTTAAAAACTATAAGGTACGTCCCTATTTTTTTCATTCATACCTTATACTATCTTTAAAAAAATAGGTGAGTACTTGGACCCACCTCCATTCTACTTAGCTACGCCCTGGCAAGGCGTGGGCATGTCGTCTCGAAAACCTTCATGGAGATGAGGTTACATGTGGGGCATGCCAAGTCGGATCATGGCGCGTTATTACATGTCTTTTTATCGAACATGAAATCATTGAGGTTTTTTTTATAATATTATTTGTTATTAATTATTGATATGCTTCTTTTAAAAATTTGTTATATTTGATTTTTTTTTATGTATGTAAAATTGATGACTGAAGTCACATCTTGAAAACATCATGACTTGTCATGGCTTATCCAGCTTGAAAACGCCACACGAGAACCTTGGTTTTAACGCTTCAAAAAATGTTATCAAGAACCCGGTCCAAAAAAAGCCCACCAGGCCCATTCCATTTGTTCACACTTCACCTCTTTATGCATGTCACACACAACTTATCCATGACCTACCCATCATTTATTCTCAAGAAAATAAAATTACAAGAAGATTTTCTCATAGAGTTTGTGACTCCAAACATGAATGAATAAAAACATCTCCAATAAAAACATAAATCAACAAATATCACCATACCATACACCACATGCAAACTCAAAATCAAAAAAAAATCAAAAAAAAAAAAAAAAAAAAAAAAACACAAATTCTCATGAAACTCCAAAAGAGCCTTCTGTTTTTCAATACTTTACAGAAGTGATATGCTTCAGAAGCATCTCTACAACATCAGTTGAAATCCTTTCAGCTTCCTTTTGCAGATGTTCAATTTTTTCATTTGTTTCCTTCTCAAGCCGCTTCACATTAGCACCCGAATCTCCACTTGTCTGTAACATTAAATTATATTTACATATCATACCCTTTGAGTTTTGATAATGTCAAACAACCCCCTTGATAAGAATTGATTTTATATGTTTTACCTCGGTCAGTTTTCTTTGATAATCAGCTTCCATTTGAGCACGGAAATCAGCTATCTCTCTCTCAGCCTCTTCTTTCGCTTGTTTTAGTCTAGCCAATTTTGCTAAACAAAAGAAATTAAAATTTAAAACACAAGTGGAAATATCAACATGATCTAGAAATATTAAAGGTTGAAATAAACAAAAGAAATTAAAATTTACAAACCATTTCGAGCAGCTGTGACAATTTGTTGAGCTTCTTGCTCTGCAGCTAACAAGAGTTGAATCCCATTTTGGCCTCTGCTTGAATCCATATTTGCTAATACACCACAAGGCTACAGAATTTGAATATGCCATGATAAGATCAAATTAATACAGAAAAGAATGACAAAAAAATATGTTATAGAGTGGATTAAAGATTTAAAGACACAGATTTGTATTGAAAGAATAAGAAGCATACATGTTTCAACTCCATTTTTAGTTAAACTGATCATGGAAGCAACTCCACCAAATATAACATTTATAAAAGCACAACAGTTCCTAGTATTCTTCATCAAACCAAAATCAAATTAGACTCGATTACTAACCACAACATGGATAATGATTTAGATCTTGAAAAACAAAGTCAAAATCACCAAGTCTCAAAACAATTGCAACTTCATGGTCTAATAAATTATCTGTATTTCATAATTTGTAATGATTAATGCAAAATTGAACAATTATGTTCGGAGATGGATCGTTGCAATTGATTGCGACGAAGTGATTATCAATTTGAAAATTTGTTTTATTGATTTTGATCAACCTTGACCTACGAACTCCTCGGAGAAGGGGGCAACCATTGGCGACATAACTAGTCGGAAAATTAAAGGAATAACACCGGTAGATAGCAATTAAGTAGATAAAGTTTAACAAAATCAGTTCAAAATTCTCCAAAAAAAAGCAAGTTGAAATGAACTACAATGGCGGAAAATGATTTTGAAGCAAAGAAACAAACCGTGGAAAGATTAATCAATCATGGATTTAAGATCCGCACGAGTAATGCTAAGATTCGAAACTTAAGATCAAGAGCAGATAGAGTCAACAGAAGATATGATCTACAGAGTACATATAACAAAGATCAAACCTATATATGAGGGATTTGGGGAAGATCCAATCCAGAGGGAGAGAGAAATCATACCTAAAAATCGGAGACCGGTCTGATGATTCGATGAGGCAAACAAGGAAGAATGGATGAGAGGCGTATATGGTGTTGGTTTTCGAATGGAAATTTCTAAAATTGGAGTGTAGTCCTTATAGTCACAATGTTGTACACATATTGTCCCTTAACTATCTCCTAGTTAGCAGTTTTAGTCCTTAACTATTGAAATACCCCGGCTAAAACACTCATTCATGATGTCGACATGAATGTGTTATCGTTTTCACGAAGAAAAGTTGTCGATAGTTCATGAAAAAGAAAAATAGAGACATCAAGTCATACAAACTAGAAAACATCTTTTTTATGTGATTATTTTAATCGTCTTATTATCTTTTTTTAGAGCAAAAGTAGTTACATCGAGTAGATGAGATTTATCAACCAATTAATTTAATTTATAGAACATTTTATATTCTTATTAGAAAACCAAAAGAAAGAAAACTCTATGATCAAGTCAACAATGTCACGTTGCCTCAGTTTCCCATCAACAAACAATTTATCGTTTCTGAGCCTTTAGATGTACCAAATGGTAGTACAAACAATTGCATCCATCAAAACCTTTTTTTTTCGAGGAAAGAGGCAAATGAATAACTGTCAAAATCACCATGATTACTGAATCAAACTCGTAGGATCTCCAACCATTTGAAAATCGTGTTCCGTGTCCTAGCTGCCACTTCACATCTTACAGATAAATGGTTAAGTTGCTCTACCTCCAACTTGCATATAAGACATAAAATGGAAGGGACATCCATTCCTAGGGTTGATAGATTTAATCTCGTTGGGATCCTATTACCCAGAATACACCATATCATAGTATTTACCTTTTGGGGTACAAAAGAGTTCCATTTATTAGCCATACTCAAAGTTGGAAGAATGACATCATCAACTCGTCTTCTAGTTTTCACTTACAGTAAATCTTCCAGCATCTCCAACTGATGGAGATTACTGCCAATAGACATAGCAAGCCCGGTAATATTACTATAAATGACAGTGCCCTTTTGGGTTACACGCAAGAACAAAATAAAACAAGACTGAAAATATATTTATATGAGGGACTTGTTTTGTTAATTAATTAATAGTTTAATTAATTAATTAGAAAATAATAAAATATGCAATATTTCAGAATGATCTGAATTACATAGATATTTATTATTATATTTGATAATTATCTTTAGGGTTTTAAATCATCACCCTATATAAAGAGGGCTCCAAATCCGGTTTTGACACGTGTGTGAAAAATACCTTTCAGTTATCAAAGTTCGGAACCCTAAAAACCCTAAAGAATCCCAAAGTACAGTTCCCACGATGTAGCACCTTGATCACCATATCGTGGCCTGTCGTAGAATCAAGTTTTCGATTCGGTTTGTAGCTCACAACTCGAGGATTGCTTATATATGTTTCTACTTTATTTCTTTGGTGCAATTACAGAAGAGGAACTCTCCGTTGGGTTCTCTAGTCCAGTCAACTGGATCGTCTAAAGAAGAAACCCACTAAGAAAGCAAAGGTATGATTATATCTATTAAGTTCTATAAGTTGCATTTATTGTTGAGTTTGATTTGTTGTTTCGAGTCTATTAGATCATAATTTTTGTTTTCGTTGCCCATTATTTTGATCTTTGACTAGGCTCGAAACTCATCAGTGGTATCAGAGCCTAGGTTAACTCAATTCTATTGCACTTAGACTTTGTCTTGGATAGTATGTTAGGTTTTGTATGTGTTGGATTTCTTATTTAAATTGACTACAAATTTGCCATGATTAAAATCGAATCTGATTATGCTTGAAAACGACGGTTGGGTCGTTCTACTTCTCCACCACGTCGTGGTTGTTCGTCCACCACATTGTGGACTCAATCGATGCTGAATTTGGATCACGACTGTTTTTGTCGCTACGTCGTGGTTTCCTCTTGGCCACGTCATGGTCTGTTGCTAAGAACCTAAAATAAATAGTGTGTTTTATGTGTGCCACGACATGGTTGTTCATTCCACCACGTTATCCTTTTCGATTTTAAACACATACAAACTAGCATTTATACTAAAAGATAAAGTAAATTTGATTTAATTATAAGATTAATTAAAAGACAAAAGATTAGGACTCTTAAAATTTAATTGTTGACATTTTAGTCAATAGAATTAAAAGACATATAATCTTCAAATGTGTGTGTGTGTGTGTGTGTGTATATATATATATATATATATAATATATATATATATATGGTAAAATCGTATTTATATGTATAACACTAAAACAAACATTACGTCCTCGTATGATTCCTAAATGGGCATTGTTAGTCTTACCACGATTAGGCTCACCTACTTTTATTGCTATAAGGAAGATTTTAGGAGGTCTATTCGATTCCTAATGAGGTTGGCTTTTAAGTGGCATCTATTGCTCGCCACCCTCACCGCCTTCTTGCATTTTAAAGTAGAGTTACCGAAAGGGTTTGATAGGACAATTGTCCAAAGTTAAAAGTATTTAACTTAATAAGTAGTAAAACAAAATCCCGTTTTATAATAATGTGAATCTTATGCTTCCATGGAAATTACGCCTTGTGGTATATTCTTTTTTATGTAAGCATGTGTGGTTTACCTGCTCGTCAAAAGAAGAGTATAGTCAAATAAAGGTATATGTTGATCGCGATTCTCAAGCTTTACTTGAGCTGAATCTTATTATAACTTTGCATGGTCGATTAATCATTTGGATTCATGATCATCGGCTAATACATTCATGATTATCAAATACACATTAGAAGAGATTAACATGCTATTGACATAAGTCAATAAATCTTGTTTTCTAGGAATCCCATAGAGATTTAGATCGACAATAGTTTATTCACCTAAATAACTTCATTTTGTAATTTTCGGCTAATCAACTTTACATTGTGAGGCCAAACATGGATTCTAGCCTTTTGACTAATAATTTGATGTTGGGTAATTATAATAAAAAGATTTCTTGATCAAACTAATTGTGTTGATGTTAAACAGTTGTCGCGCACGATTTAAGCAAATTATATTTTCACTGCTTGGTTGCATTAAAGGATAGCACAAGGAATCAGAGTCAAATCTGTAACGCCCGGTTCCTGGTACGTATTTTATTATAAGTTTTGCATTTTTACACAGGGACTCGACGAGTTGGAGGCCCAACTCGTCAAGTAGATGCGAATGTTGGACGCGGGTGGAAGAGTCTACTCGCCGAGTCGGAAGCCTCGACTCGACGAGTAGACCTGTCTGAATGAAACCCTAAAATTGAGGGTTTGCACCCTATTTAAACAACTTATATGGTCTCCACTCCAGCCTCCATCACCCTCAGAATCTCTTCACGAAACCCTAATTGAATATTGAGTGTTCTTGAGCTTTTTGTGCCATTTGTGTGTATTTGAAGCTTGAGAAGAAGAAGGAAGCTTGGGAGATCAAGAGAAAGCAAGTAGATCCAGAGGTTTTGGCACATTCCCAGCTCATTTGAGGTATAAAGCTGATACCTTGACTATTCATTTCTTAGATCTCCATTTAGGGCTATTTTCTATCTTTTCTAAGTCTTAGGGAAGCCATATTCGAGATTGTGAGTATCAATGGGGTTTGTACTTCAAATCTTGAACCTTTAAGGGTTCCCATGGCATAAAGGTGCCAACTTTATGGCCATGGGAGTCCCATGCACCATGTAGACTTAATTTTGGGTCCTTATAAGCTAGTTAACCCATGCATGCACGTAAAGTTTGTAACTTTACGTGCTATATCGATCCTAGGAGGTCAGATCTATGTTCTGGATGCATTAAGCCCGACTAAAATCGATTTGGTAGACTTGGACTTTGGGGGACTCGGCGAGTCGCTCATAGGAATTAGCGAGTCGGGTTATGGTTCCCCAACCTTTTTTGTTTTTGATCGTTCTGGTTGAGTCTAGAAGAGGACTCAACAAGATGGACTTGAAGATCAAAGGACTCGACGAGTTCAAGGATGAACTCGGCGAGTTCAAGGCAATGTCCCAACTTATATGAAGAAGAGCTCGACGAGTTCAAGGAAGAACTCAGCAAGTCAAGGACTAAACACTTCAACTTGTATGAAGAAGGACTCGACGAGTTCATGGACGAGCTCGGCGAGTCAAGAGCAAAAGGTCTCGATTCTGTATGAAGGAGAACTCGACGAGTTCTTGAAAGACTTGACGAGTAGGATCGAAGTTCCAGTATTTTATGGATTATGGAACTCGACGAGTTGGTGGACCAACTCGGCGAGTTGAGTCAACCAGATGTTGAATTTGACCAAAAGTTGACTTTGACCAGGGTGTTGACCTTGACTTTGACTTTGACCTGAGTTGACCCTTGAAAGGGTTAAGAGTATGAAATGGTAGTTAAGGAAGGTTGTTATGTGTAGGAGTTTGAGAGGAGTTGATTCCAGTATCGAGGACAGTTCAGACACTTCACGACATTGAGGTGAGTTACCTTCCAGTAGAAATGGGTCTACGGCCACAATGCCGACCCACTAGTAGGAGTTGATGTTAGATGATTGTCTTTGTGATAATTATCTAGGTTTGCTGTTATCTGATATGTTTTATGTGTTGGCATGATATGATGATATGTGATAGTAGTAGTAGGGGGAATAGTCCCCGTGTCACGGTCGTAAGGACCGAAGGGTAGGTCGGGCACCCCAGAATTGTCCGGTAGGGTAGGTCGGGCACCCCAGAATTGCCCGGTAGGGTAGGTCGGGCACCCCAGAATGGCCTGGCAGGGTAGGTCGGGCACCCCCATAATTGCCCGGCAGTATGTTTGTTGTATGGTATAAGGTATGATGGGGGAACTCACTAAGCTTTGTGCTTATTGTTTTCAGTTTTGTTTTCAGGTACCTCTTCTTTGAAGGGGAAGGAGCCGGCACGGTAGCAGCGCATCACACACACAGGATTTCCGCATTATGAGATTCTTGGGATTGTACTCTGACATTGTTACTATTTTATGATATGGTTTTGAGACATGTGACTATGGTTTTATGAAATGATATGATTCGATGATGTTTTTCAGTAAACAATTTTATAAGTTACTTAATTAAAAACAAAATTTTTGGTCATGATTTTGGGATGT